GAGCTGACACAGGATTTTCACTTCTTGTGAACAGAAACCCAAAACCCTTCTAAACAAGTGAAGACAAAAAATACTATTGAATCTAAAGTAAAAAACTTCAGGGTAATATGAACAAATTGCTTAGTTACAGATAATTATAATGACTTAATATGTGGAATATTGACAAAGGAGAGACAAATATATATATACCTGTAAGTACTTCTGAAATCTTGTGGATGCTTAGTGTCTAAAACACTGTACTTTTAGCACTTAGCAACATTGATATAAAATAACACAACAAAGAATTCCATTGATATACCTATTCTCAAAATAAGTTACCAAACAGACAGTAGAGGGACAATTTATTGGCAAAAATTTGTAAGTAAAAACGTTACTGAATGCCCTTATGTACCTCAAAGTTTTTTGTTAGGTCTTTCACTCATCCAGGCCATGAATATTTATTGAGCATCTCCTTTGTGCTAAATTCTGAGACTGCATCAGTGAACAAAACAAACTTTCTCAGCTCAAAGAGGTTACAATTCCGTGCTTGGCCTAATTCCCTAAAGCCACACACATATCTGTTTGTAAGTTGGCTAATAAAATTTTACCGTTGCATTGCTTTGCTGTGAATCATAGCATAGCTGAGGGGTACAAGGTGCTGAAAGAAAGCAGATGGGCAGATGGAAGGTGAGAGGGGGGAAGGAAAAGGAACAGTGTGAGGGCGGTAGTGAGGGAAGGGGAGAGGAAGGGAAAAGGTGGAGATGAGGGAATAAAAAGGGGCAGAAAGGAGGACAAATGTGCACCCAACAAGCTTTTATGATTGAGCATCAGAACCCCTGGGCTGCATCCCACACTGCCTCTCCTAGAGGTCTGAGCTGGAGGAGATGACTTGTCCCCTGTAACTATGCCTTCCTCACCTTTAAAGGGAGGATAGGGCTGCGGTAAGAATCCCATAGATAACATATGGGAAAACACTGAAACGTATAAACTGCTTTAAAATGAAAGAGATTTTATATGTGTGTGTGTGTGTGTGTGTGTGTATATATTTCATATATTACATTCTTTGATATATATATATATATATATATATATATATATCAAAGAATGTAATTATGTATACTTTTTCAAACGATATATAAGCATTGCAACATTTCCTGTTTCTTCTAAATAATGAAAAAAGAATATATACATAGATGACAACTTTGGCAGTGGGCATTACTAGCAATAATAACCAGAGTTGAAATATTGGGAGAAAGGAGTAGGTTTAATCTAAGACTATTTAATTTTCTATAAATATTGAAAATTTGCAGGGAAATTTGAAATGCTACTTGACACATCTTCTAAACCAAATTACACAGGTATAAAACTTTTTTTGCAGGAATTTTGAGTCTTTTATAAAAAGAAAGAAATACTAATTTTATAAACATTTGATTGTTTTCTAGTTATCTGTGTATTGAAAACCTGATGTCTTAATATTTGTAACTTTTTCTTTACTATTTTTCCATAAATGGGATGCATATAATTGTCATAGTTATATCCTAAAGGGATTGACAGCCATAGAAACCTCTGGACTATACAGACAGCAGATCTTACATTGGAAAACAGGTTTTGAGTATTTGCTCTGAAACTTACTAAGTTGTGTCATCTTAGTCACGTAGGTGAATTTCTTTCCCTCTCCCTCTCCAAAATATACTCCTGCCTCTGCCTCACAGAATCTCTGGGAGTGCCTTTCACAGAATTACCCTCGAGTAAATGCCAACAGTTGATGTTTTTGTTAATGATAATAACAACAAAAGTAAATACACTTTCCGAATTTAGCACAAACAGAGGCTCAACAAATATTCATTGCCTGGATCAATGAAAGACCTAACAAAGAACTTTGAAGTCCATATGAACTTTTTTTATACATTCAGTAACTTTTTTACTTATAATTTTTGTTAATGAGTTGTCCTCTGCTGTCTCTTTGGTAACTGAACAAGGCTTTTCCTTTGGCTTGTTCCTGGAGACAGAATTACTAGACACCTGCCATGACTAAAACTTTACCTATCACCATGAACATTATTTGGCCTGTCCGTAAAACCTTTTTGAAACTGGCTCTATAATACTTCTAAAAACCAAAACTTTGCTAAGACATGCCAAAGTAAAGTGTTTAAGGTCCTATTCCAAACAAATTCCTGACTAGTCTTTCTGATAGCTAACACCAAATTACGTTGTAGCAGCAAAATCCAAATGAGATCCCTTATCAAAAGCTTGGATGACTCCATAATAATAACAGCAATTACTTCAATTCACTGAGGATCTAGTTAGTACATACCAGGTACTCGGCTAGCCACTTTACAAAAACTATGTCATTTACTTTTCAGAATTACACTGTGAAGTAGATAGTATTATCACCATCAACTAAGCAAATAGCACAGGGCAGGTAATCTTTTATTTTTATTTAATATTTTTATTTATTTCAGAGAGGAAGGGAGAAGGAGGGAGAGATAGGAGCATCAATGATGAGAAGGAATCATTGATCGGCTGCCTTCTGCATGCCCTCCACAGGGTATGGAGCCCCCAACACGGATATGTGCCCTTGATTGAAATCGAATCCGGGACCTTTTAGTCCACAGGCGAACGCTCTATCCACTGAGACAATCTGACCAGGGCCAGGGCAGCTAATCTTATCTTTGGTCACATAGCTAAGAAGTGACAGACCATAAATGAAATCCACGTCTGGCTTATCTCTGGCTTACCACTAGATTGGTTTGTCTACCTCCATATACTTACTCTCCCTGGAGATATAATTACTTAACTGTTCATCTCAATCAGAAATATCCAATGATAATCTAAGACTGCTGAAATTTATTCTAAAATCTATATGTATACATTGTTTACTGATTACACTCAAGATGCCAAGAATACAGTATTTTTAGGGTAAGAGCTTCAAATACAGAAAGTGACTGTAAACGAAGCTATGTCTTAAAAAAATATTGTGCAACTAATCAAAATAGAATTGTCACATCTTTGAAAAACTTGTAATTTATATATATTGAAGGGATGCTAAAAAGAACTGTTAGTAAGATTTAAGGTTGATTTCTCCAGCTATCTTCTTATTGAACACATTGACTAAATGGTTCTTTCTTAAAACTCCAGCATCCCGAAGTGGCTTTGATATCTAAAAAATGAAATCAGTTATTGGAAAGCAAAAGAAAAGCAGGCACAAGTAAAACTGAAAAAATTAATTGGTCCCAATTAAGCAACAACCCAGTCAACAGCAAAGCTTGAATGCTCTACTCTGAGAGGTAACCAGGCCTATGCGTGTTAAAAGGCCCTCGGGAGATGCTGAGATATTTCTCAGGTTGGCCTAAACATCATGGCTTCAGAAATCTTTTCAGAGATACTGTCTTGCATTTCTAAAGAGAATTTGTGGATTTATCAATTTTTAGCATGATTTGAGGTTTAGATTTGCCCCAGAACCTGCAATCTAGATTAGAATGACACATAATATGGGACGTGGAATACATCAGAGTATATCCAGAGATGAACTGTGATTCCTTTTTCTCCTGCACTCCCATTATCACTTGCCCCTGCACAAGTGGTAAACGTTGCTTCATCATGTTGTCAAAATTGTGTGACTCATTTCTACTACTTACTGCTACAGTTCAGAGGACAAGTATCATTTTTCATCATTTGATTTTACTTCATCATGCAACCCATCTTTAGTAACTAGGCATTCAACCAAGACTTTTCTTCTTAGATCAGTGTCAACATGTACTGGTATATCCAAAGCCTGAATCCAAAGGGAGGGGAAAGAAGGTTAGAAGTTACTGAAAGCAAGCCAGCAAGCAAGTTGTGGTACATTTATACAACGGAATACAATTCGGTTGTTAAAAAGAAGGAAATCTAAACCTTTGCGACAGCATGGATGGACCTGGAGAAAATGATGAGCTAAGTGGAATAAACCAGAGAAAGACAAGTACCATATGATTTCACTCATATGTGGAACCTAATGAACAAAATAACGTAACAAGTAGAAAAAGACTCATAAGGAACAAACTGACAGCTGTCAGAGTGCAGGGAAGTTTCAGGACTGGATGAAAAGGTTAAGGGATTAAACAAAAAACTCACAGTCACAGGTAATAGTATGATTATTAACAGAGAGAAAAAGAGGTGGGGGAGGTGGAAGAGCATAAAGGAGTGGAAAAATAAATGGTGATGGGAGGAAACTTGATTTGGGGTGGTGAACACATAATACAATATACAATATTAAAGACTTGTACACCTGAAATCTATATAATTTTATTAACCAATGTCACCTCAATAAATTCAATGAAACAACTGTGTTTGCTATTTTTCTAAAAAAGAAAAAGAAAAAGAAGTGACATACAGATGGGAGCAGGGGAAGAGAGAAAGAGGCCTTAGATTCTGCCAAGAACCCGCCCACTGGCTGGCAGGTGGGTGCCCAACCTTGCTAGGCAAATCCTAGCTTGCAGGCAGTGCAAAATAAGAGTAGACATGAAGATAGGAATTCATGCACCTCAGATTAAAAATATTTGTTCTGCGAATAGTCAACCTTGACAATGTTACTATTAGAGGCAGGTAGGTATTCCACAATGAAATCAAGATATCTTTCCTACTCATCAAAAACTTTTTTTCAGATCTGATCAAATCTAGAACTGACTGAGTTCTAAGTCTCTGTGCTTTTGCACTCAATCAATTTATACTAAATAGCAGTAAAATTGCCCTCTTTTCAAAACAGAAGCAGAGATTTCAGAAGTGTTTTGAAATTGTCCTGCTATTTACTAATCTACAACGGAGTAAGTGGGAGAGGAGGGTATTGAACCACCAGCGGTAGAATTGTAAAATTCTTTTGTAACCTGCAAACTTCATCACACACCCGAAGTATTAGCTGTGCACTGTTCTAACAAAACAAAACAAACAAACAAACAAAAAAAGGTGGGGGTGGGGAGAAGGATGGCGTGGAGTCAGGGTGGGAGGGACTGACATTCTGCAGCAGAGGACACCCCATACTCTACCTGCGCCCACTACCAGGGCCCGAGGCTGGCAGCTGCGCACGCAGTGCAGGAGGGAGTGGGAGCGGATGTTGGTGTTGAGGAAGGCCACCACGCAGCCCAGCTTGGCCAGGCCAAACCACACGTGCACGAAGTCGGGCTCATTGCTCATCAGCAGAGCCACGGTGTCCCCCTTTGCCAGCGGGGAATGGTTCAGGAAGACGTGGGCCACTCTGCTGCTCCTCTTGTCCACGTCCTCGTAGGTGTAGGTGTCTCCCTCAAACACGATGAAGGGTTTCCGGGGCTGCCTCCTGGCGTGGCTCAGGAAGGTGTCCAGGACCGTGACCAGCTCCCCTTTCCGCCGGTACCGCTCTATCCGAATCCCGCAGCGGATCACCTTCAGCAGGAACCACAAGTCCTGCCAGAAGTAAGGGAGCAGCAGTTTCTGCAGGAAGTGCAGGAAGACTATGCCCGCCCCTAGTCCTGATACCCATGGCAGGAGCATGGGGGCCACAGGGCCAGCAGGCCGCTCTGATCCCAGCCCTGACAGTGGCCTTGCCTTCCAGGCCGGGCTCAGCGCCCAGGACCGGCACCTGCCCTTCTCACCAGCCTCTGAGGGCCGGGGAGCTTCGGAAACAGAGTTAAGTAGAAGTTTGCAAAGAGAAGCTTGCACAGAGGGGATCCCGGGAGGGAGGCTTGAGACACCTGGCGGCTGGGTAGGGAGCGCTGGGTTCAGGCGAAGGGAGCGCCGGCAGCCGCCAGGGGCTCGGAGTCTGCGAGCCCAGCCGGGCAGGCAGCGGGCGGCGGCCCCCGCACTGGGCAGCCCTCTGCTCCAGGCTGAGCCTGCACCAGCCCCGCCGCGGCTGCAGGGCGTCCGGGAGCCGATGCTCTCTTCCTCCTCCTCCTCCTCCTCCTCCTCGGAGTAGTTCTTCCAGCGACTGCGACTTGGAACCTGGAGAAACTGGGGTGGCGACAGCTGAGAGATCAGAGGCTTCTGTCCAGACACTTCGGGGTCCGAGGAGGAGGGTTTCGGGACCGCGCCACCGTCCCGCGTGCGACCCCAAGGCCCATGGGCCCCGGCTCTGCTGCGCCCCCAACTCCCCTCCGACGCGCCGGGTCTGGGCGACCTGCCCCGCAGTCCGCGCCGCGCCGGCTGGAAGGAGGCGCCTGGGTTCCCGGCCGCAGCCCCGCTCCCAGGAACCGCGGGGGCTGGCTTATCTCTGCCCGGAGCGCGGCGGGGGTGTCGTCCGCCTGCCTCCCGCCTCCGGGCCCCGGGCCAGCCCCGGCCCCTCCTCGCCTCCGGGCTGGCAGGGGACTGGACAGTCCCGTGGAGGGAAGGGCCGGCCGGGATGCCAGAGGACGTGACAAAGGATCCAGGAGAACCAGGCTGCTGGGAGGGACAATTACAGAAAACAAAACGAGAGGGAGATAGGAAGGGAGGGATAGAGCTAGAGAGATATGAATGGTGTAATCCATCAAGGAATATTTGAATTCTTTGTTCATAAACCACCACAGAGTTGGTTTGTTCTACAAAACTTATTTCTGAAAACATATTAATAGGTTGGTGTTGACATTTATTTTGGAATTCAATGCTTAGAGTGCCTAGGCAGTGCTTTTCACAAAAATTCCAAAAAACATTGATTGGTGTGGTAGCTTCAGTCCATATGGACATCCATATTTTTTAAAAAAGTATAAAACACTGACTATTCTCTGTCCTTAAAAATAAGATAACACTTTAAAGTTAGACCATTAAAAAAATTCTCAGACTTCAAACTAAGGATTCTAAAAGGGGCAGAAGGAGGTGGAGAGGGAACAGGTAATTGCAAAGAATAACAGCAAAATCCTGTAAATGATGAAATTTTACCGAAGACACAAGACAGGGGCATTTAATTATACACTGTTTTCCTTGCAGACACTCACTGCTTTTAAGATTAATTGCACGTGTTGAAATGATGAAGCGCTGTCTCACATTATCGGCTTCTGCTTCTGTCTTATGCTTTGCAACTGGGTTCTAGCTATAATAACTTCAGATTTTCTAATAAAGAGCTGGTAACTCCAAAGACAGATGTCTGAAAGTGATTACTTGCAGTCATGGTGAAGAGCCCGCAAGACGCTCTTCAAACCCTTTTGTGTAGATGAAGAAAATACTTTCTAAATTGGCAATTCAGAAAGATCTTTCAGTTAAAAGAAAAGTGATAGCATCAAGTAGTTCACAACTGGGAAAATCAGCTGCAGCTTGAAAAGCGTATTGAAAGTTCTCTCCTTTCCACTCCGAGGCCTCTCTAGTGGCAAGGACCATGGGCCAGGTATAGAAGGTCACCAGGGAGAAAGCCCCAGGGGCTTAGCAACTGGCAAAGCTAGGAAAACAAGGACTGTGCCTTGTTTCCTTCCCCCTAGCTGCTGGGGCCTAGCATATTGCTGGTCATGTGGTTCTGTCCCTTCCCTGACCTTTCTTCTCTAGGCATGTCCCTAGTCAGGTAGTAGTCCAGCCTAGAGGGGAACAAGGGGACCACAGAGTAGCCCTTAAACATTAAGCTTCCCAGACAGTGAGGTTCTAACCTGCATCAAATATTGATACATCTAGGCCTCAGTTGTGTTTCAGCTCTAGGCCCAGATAAGCAGCAAAACCACACAAGTGGTCTGGAGCTGACCTCAGGACCAGCTGCAGTAACTAGTGACCCCCAATCAGTGAAGACCATGATACTGAGAGGGTACACCTGGAAAGCTGAGAGCTGTAGAGACCATCCCCTGGAAGGCCCTCTAAAACCCCATCCTTAAAAGTCCTTTGGACTGAGGACCCAGTTCGTTTTCTCTCTCTCTCTCTCTCTCTCTCTCTCTCTCTCTCTCTCTCTCTCTCTCTCTCTCTCTCTCTCTCTCTCTCTCTCTCTCCCCCTCTCTCCCCCTCTCTCTCCCTCTCTCTCCCTCTCTCTCCCTCTCTCTCTCTCTGGAGCATGCCCATGCCTTTCCCCTCTCTCTTCTTCCCTCCAAAAGCCTTTACCTTCCTCTCTGCTAAGCTCCCAGGACCCTTCTTTTGCCTCTGTAATTTGTTTCCTGAATCTATTTCTTCTGTACTCACTTCTTCTACCTCTGGCTTTCTAAATAAACTTTCTCTTATAGTTTGAGTCTTGGCTCTGAATTCTTTCCTAGCCAGAACTCAAGCACCTGGGTCACTAGACCAAGGTCTTGTCTAACACCTAGTAGCATTCTAGCTGCCAACAGTCTGCTTCATTCACCTTCTAGAAAACATTTGAAGCAGAGAATGGAATATGGAACAGCTGGTCTCAGACATTAGCTTTACAATACAAGTCTGTTCTCCTCTAGTGGAAGAAAATGAGTAAAGAAACATCATTTCCATCTTTTTATTTTGTTAAATTAGAAACAGTAGGCACACATTAAAACAATTACTATCTACTGTCACCACTGTTTCATAAAGGGAGGTCTTATTTCAAAGTTAAAAAGAAGGAAGGGCATAACATTATTATAACAAAGGACCATATTTCAAAATAAATAAAATTAATTTCATGAAAAACTCATTGTATTGCATTTATTTTTATCATGGTCCTGCTAACAATACCCCAGGGCATGGAACTAAATTTTCATCAATTAGTAATGTGAGTTGAAATATATATTTGGTACCATAAATGTGAGACAATTTGACTTATTGGGAAAACTACTAGCATATGTTGCCAAAATTTATATTTACCAAGAACAACTTTGTGTCTGAAATCTTACTATGAAGGAAGGAATCTGAAAATCTTGGGATGTGTGCATTGTGTGCATTCCTGCATAAAGCCATGTGTCTGTTCCTATTTCCCCCCCAGAAGCACAAATGAGTAAAAAGATATAATTATTAATTATAATTTTCAATTATTGAAAAATGGGGATAGACAATAAGCTAGTTACAACTTAGTAAGTTTATCATTTAACTAAAATAAGGAGAAGTATCAACATGTAAATAGTCTAGACACTTGTTAACATTATTTTTGACCAGGGACAATGCAGTGGTTCTTAGGTTCCTCTTTAGAAAATGTAGAAATTTTGTGTTTTTAATGTTATTTGAAAATATTGTGACCATGCAGATCAATGCAAAAAGAAAATATATCTGCCCTTTTCCCATTTCTGATTTGACTTTTCTCTCGAATACAGCCCCAATTCCCTCTGCACCCTCAGTTCTGTTGAAGATTAACTGTTCAGTGAGTAGATCAAAGACTGAAAGAAATGTATCATATTTATCTTATGCCTATAGGATTTTGCCTTGTCTTATGCCTATAGGATTTTGCCACTGTAAGTCGATAATTCTGACTTTATACAAACACATTGCTTGTGTGCAGAAGAACTCTGATGAAATTCTACAGCAGTCCCATTTTGGAATATGGGAGGTTTGGGTGAGAAGGAAGATATTCAGAAAGGACCCAAATGATGCTATGTTGGTCCCAATAGATGATGACAAGTGTGTGCAATGGGCCAAGAAGCCATGAGTACCTAGACTGCAGCTGGCATTTCAGGAAAGGGATAAGGGTGGAATGGATATGTGAGGGAGTAAATAGCTCTAAAAATGAGGGTCAGATGCTCAATGTAAGACTCATCTACTTTACAATTCTGTCCAGGAACAGAGTCGTGTTCAGGTTTTAATCACTATTTTAGTCTCTGATCATAGCTTGGTTTTTGATGGGAAGCTTATTCCTCCTACAATCTGTTTGCATTAATGAGCAATCATCACCCAGAATATTATTCCTCACAAGGACTCATGAAGCAAACTCAACATTAAAGATGAGGGCTGCTGTTAGAGGGTAGGGAGGGGTTAACATTACTACATGTCTTAGACACATCAAACACTCTTGAAATATAAAAAATTTATAGCTCCAATCAGTGACTCTATAATAACAGTCTCGGTAACAATTCTCAAACAAATTAAATATTTAACTATCATTTTTGCCATAGACTAAAATTATGTTCAGAAATTTATGCTGATCAGGCTCCTGACAAGACATTTTAACATATAGTTTATCCATGGCTTTAAAACCAGCTTCCTTATCTCCATATGCTTCTGTTTATGAAACTTCCCCTTCCTCAGTATTGGTGAGATGTAATATTTGGAACAGATCTTTATGTAAAGTTTTATCACTGACTCAGAGTCCTCAGGGTAGCTTCATTTCTATTTTATGTCACCTGCATGAAAACAGGTCACCTGATCATCAGTGAGATATATAAAAAAAAACTGATAACTTTTATTGGGCATTAACAATATTCTGAATATGGCAGTGAATTGGTTCCATGGGCCCCTACCTGTACATGTCTTATGAGGCCCAAGATTTAGTCTTATTTCTTGTATATCTCATTTCTTGACACATCATGAAAATTTACAATACTTAAAATTAAAGTTTCCCCTCAATGGCCTTATTATGATAATTATTTCCCCCTTTGGGGTCAGACAGTCCAGTGCTGGTAGGTGCAGGGCTGACATGACTCTGCCAAGGTCAACCTGTGGCTTCCACTCATGGAGAC